CCAGGCCTTCGACGCCTTCGCCGCCCTGGGGGTCCCGCGGCTCCTGGACCCCTCGGACATGGAGACCCCCGACAGCCTGGGGGTCATGACCTTCCTCAGCCAGGTCCGGGCGCTCCTGGGGACCCCCCCGGGGACCCCCCAGGACCCCCGGAGCGGCTCCACTGAGAAGGGGGCACCCCTGGAATCAGCGAGTGACGTCATCGAGGGGGGGCCTAGAACGACCCCCCCAGGGACCCCCAGGGACCCTCGGAGTGACGACACCGAGGGGGGGCCTCGAACGACCCCCCCAGATTCCCGGAGTGACGTCACTGAGACGGGACCCCAAATGATCCCCCCGGGGACGCCCCCGGATCCTCGGAGTGACGTCATCTATGGGGGGCCCCAAACGACCCCCCCAGGGACACGCCTGGAATCACCGAGTGACGTCATCGAGGGGGGACCCGAAACGACCCCCCCAGACTCCCGGAGTGACGTCACCGATGGGGGGCCCGAAACGACCCCCCCGCCGACACCCCCGCGGCCCCGGAGCGGCTCCATTGAGGAGGAGCCCCAAGAGCCCCCCCGGGACCCCCAGACCCCCCCAGAGACCCCAACCGGGACCCCCCCGGAGCCCCAAATCAGCGTCACTGAGGGGGGGCCCCAAGAGACGCCCCCAGAGCCCCCCCAGCTCAGCCCCATCGAGGGGGGGCCACCCCCAGACCCCCCCGTGGACCAAATTGAGATTCTGGAGGAGGGGGGAGGCTCCCCACAGGAACCCCAGCTCGAGCCCATTGAGGGGGCGCCCCCCCAGGAGCCCCCCCCAGCATTTGGGGAGGGGGCGGCAGTGCCCGGGCCCCCCCCACGATCCCCCCGGCCCGCGGGGGTGGGGAGGGGTCTCCCCACGCCCCCCCCACGCTCCAGGAGCTTCCCTCGGCTGCGGGACCGGGGGGCACGGGGGGACATTGGGGACACATTGGGGACACAGGGACAGACCTTGGGGACAATGGGGACAGGGGGAGGGGGGCATTGGAGGGAGGGCAGGGGCAGCCACGGGTGACACAGGGGTGACACCGATGTCCCCACGGTGACAAGGGACAGTGGGTGACAGCCGAGCTGGTGGCCCTGGAGCAGGAGCAGGGTGACACAGGGTGACACCAATGTCCCCGCGGTGACAGGGACAGTGGGTGGCGGCCGAGCTGGTGGCCCTGGAGCAGGAGCAGGGTGACACAGGGGTGACACAGGGTGACACCAATGTCCCCACGGTGACAGGGACAGTGGGTGGAGGCCGAGCTGGTGGCCCTGGAGCAGGAGCAGGGTGACACAGGGTGACACAGGGGTGACACAGGGTGACACCGATGTCCCCGCGGTGACAGGGACAGTGGGTGGCTCTGAGGTGACACCGATGTCCCCGCGGTGACAGGGACAATGGGTGACGGCCGAGCTGGTGGCCCTGGAGCAGGAGCAGGGTGACACAGGATGACACAGGGGTGACACAGGGTGACACCGATGTCCCCGCGGTGACAGGGACAATGGGTGACGGCCGAGCTGGTGGCCCTGGAGCAGGAGCAGGCGCGCTTGGACGCTGAGGCCCCGGAGCTGGAACAGGAACTGCGGGCGCTGATGGACAGCGGTGAGGGGACATGGGGACATTGGGGACAGCAGGGACATGGGGACATTGGGGGGACATGGGGACATTGGGGGGACATGGGGACATTGGGGACAGGGGGACAGTGGGGACATCAGGCGTACGAGAACAAGGGAAAAGAGGGACACCCGGGGACATCATGGGGACATCGGGGGCACGTGGCCCACAATGTCCCCCACGCCTCGATATCCCCCCAATGTCCCCGAGTCTCCAATGTCCCCCCAACGTCCTGAATTTCCCCGTGTCCCCCAATGTCCCTGATGTCCCAAACATCCCCAATGTCCTCCCAATGTCCCCTCAAATGTCCCATTGCCCCCACTGTCCCCAATATCCCCACTATCCCTGATGTCCCCGATGTCCCCAATATCCCCAACATCCCCACTGTCCCTGTGTTCCCGATGTCCCCGCTGTCACGTGTCCCTGCTGTCCCCGCTGTCCCTGCTGTCCCGTGTCCCTGCTGTCCCCACTGTCCCCGCTGTCCCCAGTGTCCCCGTGTCCCTGCTGTCCCCGATGTTCCTGCTGTCCCCGTGTCCCCCAATGTCCCCGCTGTCCCCAACGTCCCCGTGTCCCTGCTGTCCCCGATGTCCCCGCTGTCCCCGTGTCCCCAACGTCCCCGTGTCCCGTGTTCCCGCTGTCCCGTGTCCCTGCTGTCCCCGCTGTCCCCAACGTCCCCGTGTCCCGCGCTACCCCCCCATTTCCCCCGAGTCTCCAATGTCCCCCCAACGTCCTGAATTTCCCCGTGTCCCCCAATGTCCCTGATGTCCCAAACATCCCCAATGTCCTCCCAATGTCCCCTCAAATGTCCCATTGCCCCCACTGTCCCCAATATCCCCACTATCCCTGATGTCCCCGATGTCCCCAATATCCCCAACATCCCCACTGTCCCTGTGTTCCCGATGTCCCCGCTGTCACGTGTCCCTGCTGTCCCCGCTGTCCCTGCTGTCCCGTGTCCCTGCTGTCCCCACTGTCCCCGCTGTCCCCAGTGTCCCCGTGTCCCTGCTGTCCCCGATGTTCCTGCTGTCCCCGTGTCCCCCAATGTCCCCGCTGTCCCCAACGTCCCCGTGTCCCTGCTGTCCCCGATGTCCCCGCTGTCCCCGTGTCCCCAACGTCCCCGTGTCCCGTGTTCCCGCTGTCCCGTGTCCCTGCTGTCCCCGCTGTCCCCAACGTCCCCGTGTCCCGTGTCCCCAGGCGCGGACCCCGCGCGCGAGGAGCGGCTGCTCCGGGCCTGGTTCTCGCTGGTGCAGCAGCGGAATTTGCTGGTGCGGCGACAGGACCAGCTGCAGCTGCTGTGAGGGGACAGCGGCGACACCGCGGCGACACCGCCACCCTCCCTCCGTGTCCCCTCCCTGTGCCCCCCCCGGCTCCGGTGTCCGCGAGGGGACGCTGCGGGGGGGCTCTGCCAGCCCCGGTGACACCTCCTTGTCCCTTTTTTGTCCCCTTTTTGTCCCCTGGTGTCACCCCCAGGGCGCAGGAGCGGGACCTGGAGCGACGCTTTGAGCTGCTGAGCCAGGAGCTGAGGGGACTGCTGGGGACAGAGGGTGCGACACTGGGGACAGGGGGACACTGGGGGGGGCACTGGGGACAGGGGGGACACCGGGACATGGAGGGGACACTGGGGACATTGGGAACAGGGAGACAGTGGGGCATCGAGGGGACACTGGGGATGGGGGGGGCACTGGGGACAGGGGGACACCGGGGGGGCACTGGGGATGGGGGACATTGGGGACATCGAGGGGACGCTGGGGGACATTGGGCACATGGGGCCAGCAAATATGGGGGGCACGCTGGGGACAGAGTGGGACATTGGGGACATCGAGGGCAGAGCGTGGGACATTGGGGACACCGGGGGGACATTGTGGACACATTGGGGACGGGGGGGAACATTGGGGACAAAGGGTGGGATGGGGACACTGAGGATGAGAGGACATTTGGGGGGGACAGGAGTACATTTATTGACCTTTAGCTGCTTACTGATCTCCCAAAGGATGCGGATGTAGCAGACGATCATGACACTCAGGGGGGTGATGTAGAGGGTGGTGAAGGTGAACATGTTGTAGACAGTTTCCTCCCAGTGTGCTCGGAAGCTCCCATGAGTGACACACTGGGTGAAATTCCTTCCTGGGATTGTGTTCAGGTGGAAGAGGAAAAGCTGAAATGGAGAACCAAATAATAAC